ATTACAGATTATTGAAAAACCAATTCGCGCCTAAAACATACAAAAGTATTTTATAAAAGCGAGGATCATTAAATCAAACCTTAATTATTTTGTTAAACAAACTACTTGTCAACTATAATAATTCAATATGTTTCTTTAGACTAGAAACTATATCGCCTTGCAAGATTTCATTAAAATCGCCAAGATAAAATTTTAACAATCAATTCGAAAAACGACCCGACTGATCTTTTACCAAAACTAATCAGCACGTTCCCAATCGATATCTTTACAATTGTAAGACGATTTTTGCACTTTTTTGCTAATTCTAAAGAAAAACAGCTGGCCGATTGTCTCACAAAAGTAAGTTCCAGTTTCATCGAGTTTGCTTTTAAATTTTTGAATTGTTTATCCGTTTTTGATAAACGTCGACTAAAAAGTTAAACACATTCAGAATGACTGGAAACGTTCAGAAAACAAAATTAGCAAGTCGGATTTTTTGGTAAAAACGTGAATTTCTCTTTCGGAAAGTTAATAAAATCTGATTAGTTGACTAATCTGTAATAATTATATCAGTAAATTGGTCTTTTGCCAGTACTGAAACCAGATTAATATTTAAAGCTGTTTTAATAAATAATTTTCAAAAAGTTACAATTGACCATACTCCAAATTTAAAATAAACCATTCCAACATCTTTATGATTTGTTTAAAACCATCATTTTAGAATAAGATAATACAATTTGGTAATAAAAAATTCTTTTCACAATTTTATTGCCAATAATAATATTAAATCGGCATTAGGAACTAAAGACGTGCACCTACTAGCTCGAAAATATATACGATGAATTTTAAAGAATATTATAAAATTTTATAAATAAGAAATATATATATATATATATATATATATATATATATATATATATATTATAACCGTCTATTTTATAAAGACATTTATTAATCGTTATGTTAAATTGTTTTATAGCTAAATGTTAAAAGACAACCAGGATACCCAACTATTGGGTTATTAGTTGTGATGCCTCAAATTAGAATTTTTGATATAATTATTTTCAGTAATGCTTGGTAGAGCTAATTTCAATGCAAGCATTATTATGATTTGTATCAAATAAAAGAGGATCTCACTAAAAGCGGAAATTAAACTCGGAACCTTGCGATTGCAAGACCAAAGCCTTTATTACCGCGCCACGAACGCTTTTTGTGTATAAGACATGCTTGAGCACTACGTGTTTTGTCTATTTATTGACAATTTTGTATGCATAACTGTATAACATTTCTACAGGCTTTGGTTTATCGCATTGGCTAGTTCAACTGAACAACCAATCAACTTACCTATCGGTTATACACTACCTACTTGTATATTAAATTTTAAATAATTCATATTTTTCAGACTTAAAAGTTTTACTCATTTGAACTATATAAACGAATTTTCAAGAAAGGAATTCATGTTATTGAGTTATTCATGTTATATACATAACGCGGCGTCGTAAACAATAAGCATTAACCAAACAAAATAAGATATAGAAAATTTAAAATCAGTCGATACTCATCATATTACAATTATTTTCATGATTTTGCACCGAAATACCCAAGTACTAAAGTTATGAAGTACTACATGAGATCCCAAGTACATAATGTAACAGATACGAGGTCTGTTCAAAAAGTACCCGGAATTTTCGTTTTTTCAAAAAAATATTTATTTATTCGTCTACATTAATGTGGTCCCCTTCAAAGTAGTCCCCCCCAGATATAATACACTTATGCCAGCGTTTTTTCCAATTTTCGAAGCACCCTTGATATTCACTTTTTTATATGTCCTTGAGCACTCTCAGCGATTCGGCCTTTATTTCTTCAATCAAGGAAAACCGCCGTCCTTTCATGGGTCTCTTCAACTTTGGGAATAGGAAAAAGTCACACGGAGCCATATCTGGTGAATATGGAGGTTGGGGCATGACTACGGTATTGTTTTTGGCCAAAAAATTACGAACAAGCAACGACGAGTGAGCAGGTGCGTTATCGTGGTGCAACAGCCATGAATTGTTTTTCCATAAATCGGAGCGTTTTTTTCGGATTGCTTCACGCAAACGTCGCATCACTTCAAGGTAATACTCCTTATTAACCGTACGACCTTGTGGTAAGAACTCTTCATGCACTATGCCGTTATAATCAAAGAAAACAGTAAGCAAAACCTTGACATTCGATCGAACTTGACGTGCTTTTTTCGGTCTTGGCTCACCTGGGCTCTTCCATTGGGACGATTGGGCTTTGGTTTCGACATCATAACGTACACCCATGTTTCATCACCAGTTATGACGCTTCAAGCAAACTTGGATCGTTGTTGACGTCATTTAACAGCTCTTGAGCGATGTTCATGCGATTGCTTTTTTGGTCAAAATTTAGCAGTTTTGGAATGAATTTTGCTGCCACACTCGTTTCATGCCCAAAACATTTGAAAAAATGTTATGACATGAGCCAATTGATATGCCAACTTCATCAGCAACTTCTCTAATTGTGATTCGGCGATCATTCATAACCATTTTTCCACTTCTTTCACATTTTATCGTTTGTTGACGTGCTGGGTCGACCGGAGCGTTCGTCATCTTCAACGTCTTCGCGGCCATCTTGGAACGCTTATATACTCACTAAACACTTGTTTTTTTTCATAGTTTTTTTCAGACTCACCATAGGCTTTTTGTAACATTTTTGTAACATTTCACACACTTTGTTACACTTTATTTCATTTTTTACGCAAAATTTAATACAAATTCTTTGACTTTTCAATTCTTCCATTGTAAAAATCGCCGAGCTCAGAAAAACACGTCGAACCTTAGCGACTACCACAGACAAAGTAAACAGTGAATATAGCTGAAAATTTCATCATACTTTAGGGGCATGTATACCAACACAATAAAAAAAACACAATAAAAAAAAATTTTGACAATCAGACACTCCAGACCCGCGAAATTTAAAAATTCCGGGTACTTTTTGAACACACCTCGTACATTAGTATGGGCGCTAAGAGCTTGTTGTAACATTTTTTTTAAATGAATATATCTTGAGATACACAATATATTTGTGCGAAATGAAGATGGGTAGTTGCTGTAACTATTCCTGCATCGAATCAAGTAAGAATAATTTCACAACTGTTGTTCGTAGTTTCGCAATGAATCTATTTCTAGAAAAAAAAATGCGACGTTACAATTTACCTCGTGTTTGGGGCTAGTTATAACATCTACCGGGGCAAATAGTAACGACAAAAAAGACAGTAATAACTCTGATAAATCATTTCCTTATTAAATATAAGGATGACTTTTTCAAGTAATTTTTTTCATAAATAAACGCAAACTATAATTAATACAAATAAAATATATAATGCCTTTTGTAATATAAATTTTTATCATAAATCAACGTATACAACACTTATTATCATAATAAAAGTTAAAGATATAGTTTCTTCTCGAACACAATTTACATGTGCCCACATCTTACAAACTCTATTTTCCACCCAATCTATTCCACATGAATTTGTTAATAATTCTTGTATGTTACAACTAGCCCCAAGGTTTTGTTTCAATTAACTCCAGGTGTGATTTTGCTCAAGATAACTATTTAAACGATTTAGCAATCACAAAATTTACACATTATCAAAGATTGATAAATTTGAAACAAAATAAGATATATAAAATTTGAAATTAGTCGATAATATAATAATAATGCAAACCGAAATATTACGATTGATCAAATTTATATTACCCGACAAAAATGACGGACCTGCGCAGTTATGTATATTGCGTCGGCAGTAACTATGGCAATATTATGCTGGACGATTTACATGTCCAATCAAAACAAACAAAAAAATATAGTCCAAGATCCTATTGAAAAACGCCTGTTACTAATTACAGTTACAGATAGCCCCTAGTTCCCTTACCTCAGAATATAAGGACGTAAGAACCAAGCTGTTTAAGAATAAAAATACATAATTACCTATGAATAAGTACATTACTTCTGCATATTCACCTATGTACCCGAGTTACCATAACATAAGTACGTTCGTACAAAAGTACAAAAGTTTCAACATACATAAGCATCAAACTGCATTAGTACTAAACTACATAAGTCGATAATCGAGAAAAACTAGTAGTGCATGGAATTGTGCCTCAGGGTAAATTGAAGGTATTGAATGTACCGTACCTTAATATATATTATACATTCAAAAAATAAGAATAATCAACAAAAATTGATCATTAATAACATTTGTTTTTGCATGGAATTGTGCCTGGCAAATTGCTGAAACGTACCATACCTTAATTCTACATTCGAGAAATAAGAATAATCAACAAAAATTGATCATTAATAACATTTGTTTTAAATATAGCGATCGCATTATATTAATGATTTATAAAAAGGCATTCAATAAAATAAAATAAATTAGGCCGAAAAAAGTAAAACTATTTACAATGGATACGAAGCGCATGGTCGTTCGCGCGTCAAGCAATACGACAATACAAGTGGTCTTACGTAACTAATTCTAATTGTAAGACCGCATATAAACATGTTTTACTGTTATCTATTTGGTTTGTTAGTTGAAGAAATAATTGTACGATCAACCCTTCGATAACGCGGTGAGTGCATACCGTTTAATATGGAAACAATCCACGACAAATCGTAGTGCGTTCTATGGAAACATCCGTTGTTGTAAGAAACTCAGTTGTAAGAAACAAATCATTGCAATTGTACTACGTTATAAGGAAGACTAATAAATTCGAAAGACATGATAAATTATAAATGGTTATTATTGAATGGGAGAAATCATATGAAAATATGATAATAAATGAAATAAAAGCCGAACTATAATACTATTTCAATTTTTTTAAAAATCATGCAGATTATTTATAGCATTCTGAGAAAGAGCTCTGAAACTACTAAGACCGATGTTGTAGACAACTATGATATAACCTGGCAAGTTTATACAAACATTGTAATAAATAAAAAATAATAAGCAAACTTACATTTAAACCTCCTACACCAATATTTATTTAGTAAACAGTCGCAGTTGGAGTACCGTGTCACCTGTAAGAACCGTCTTTCAGTTCAGCTCCGTTTAGTATGGAAGCCGCGTCCCCTGAGAGTTGATGACTGCATGATAAAACTCCAAAAATGTAACACTCATTTATCACACACAGTTTTAAGGAGCCAAGTACAATCCTTAATCCCACTAACATGAAACTGTACTGGTTCCTCCGAGACCTCAAACATGCGACGACGACGGGTGCGTATGGCGCCACCATAGTTTTCCCTACAAAACGCAACAACGAGCTGGCTCGACCATTGACATAATATCAACAAACATAGACCAACAATGGTGCACTATATAGATAAGAACTTCGGTTGGTAAACAAACCATTTGTAGATGTATCAAAATATCGATATAGTAGATGCAACTGCCCTCTTTTGGTGTATTTGATTTTAAGTCCTATCCATTCTATAATCAAAATAGTCCTGTCTATAATATGTATTTGAAAACACTTTGGCAATTGAGTTAGCAGATCTTGTAAGCAATAATAAAAGTACCAAGAATGGTGCACCGTATATTTAAGAACTTCGGTTGGCAAACAAACCATTTGAAGATGTATCAAAATATCGATATAGTAGATACAACAGCCCTCTTTTGGTGTAGTTGATTTTAAGTCATATCTATAATATTTTTTTGAAAACACTTTGGCAACTGATTTGGCGGTATCTTGTGAGGAATAAAATTGACACCCAAATGATCTGTCAATATTTTTTTCATATGAATATTATGTAAATATCACCCGATTATTAACAACTAGCTGTACGTACGATTTCGTTCGCATGGAATTTTTGAAAATAGTTGATAGTTTTTTGTCATTTTTAAATTAACTGCTTACTATTTTCGGTTTTTTTTTTATTAGCTTTATTGAGAAAATTTCTTTATATAACATATTTGGCTTTTCTCAGGCTCTTTGAGAGATTTGACTTTTTTTAATCATTACTAATGAGTGTACATTTAAAACAATTAACTAGTGGTGCGTGGCATTATGCCTTAAGGCAGATTTATTTAATTTGGAAATTGATTTAAAGTGATTGTTATTATACATTATTCATTTTTGTTTTTTATTCATTATTTTTGTAATGTGAAATTATTGTACGGAAAGTTCCTGCAATTTGCCTCAAAGTATAATGTCATGCACCACTAATTATTTTCCTATATGAGCAAAACTATAAAAAATTAATAATTTCACTAAATATAGTAATTGAAGTGCTTTAGAAGTAGGTGCGGATTTCTTCGTAACAGAAAAAACCTTAATTCATTCTAACAACCTTAATAAATAAATTTATTTCAGTACTTGTGTTGCATGGCATCGTGCCTTAAGGCAAATTGGACAAAATTTGTACGTATCGTTAAAATATGATAATTTGTTGTGCATATGTTTAACGATCATTTTTACCGCCAAATGACATTTTTATTGGATGTCCAAAATCGCTAGACCTGCCTTCCTAAAAATTTCACCAATTCTTCATTCCATCAATACAAGTAAATGTATTAGAATTTTTTTAAATTGGATGCTTCTTTCGCTCAAAAACTAAATTGCCCTTTTGTGCCCCGTATTTTCGAAACGTCTGGTCCAGTCTTTGCCAAAAACTAATCAGCACGTTTCCTTATCAATAGAAATCGAATGTTTTTTGGATCATTCAAATCGATTGATCCGTGTTATCAAAATTGTCAACAAAAATTGTATCCATACAAACACACGCACACGCACATACACATATACATCCACTTTTTCGGTATGCCAAAATATTCAGAAGATCTTAAAACGTAATATGCAAAAATTTCATTTGCGATTACTATATCTCATCTTAGGGAAGTTAATGAACTTGAATTTGAAAAATATACAATATTCTACTTTTTAGATGTATAATGTATAACTAGTCATGCACGACATAAGCTTTTGGTCTATTTTTGGTCAATAACTTTGTTTGTGTAACTATACTAATCTAACTTGCTACGATGTTAATTAAAAACTAATTACATTTTGTCGGTGCATTGTTTTATTTCAATGACTGGTACAGCTAGGCAAGCATCAACAAGCTATCGAGGCACTTAAATTTAAAATGTTAAATAATTATGCATTTTTCATATCGGAAAAGTTTGATCATTTGAACTATATGTATTAACAAATTTTAAAGCATGAAGCATTACAAGATGTGTAACACGACGAATGCTAATCACTCGGATACCAGAACATATTAAAATTATTTTCACGCATTGTACTCTAGCATTTAATGGAGAATACAAGGAAGCAATTTTATAAATACTATCATTTTTAATTCGCATATATTGGAAGACCAGTGATGAAGTAATTGAGACAAGCTAAGGTGGCTGCTTGTTCCTGGCTCTGGCAATCGTTGCACTTCCTTGAATTGGATCTTCTAGAATTCATTTCACTCGATTGCAAAGCAAATGTATTTAAAGCAAATTCTGTTATAATAGCACGTTTAACTGCTCCCGCGAGACTTATTCATGAGGTATTCCAATCACTTTCGCTGAACGCTCTCCAACATTTTATACACTTTATGTTGATAAACTGATAGAACCTGGATGTGAACGTATTACTTAATCAGTTACAAAATAACGTTCGAATATATTAATATGCTGTCAAAATAGATCATAAGAACACTTTAGAATGTACTTCACATTAAAATTATATTTGAAAGTTTCGGCGATCGGTAACAGATTCTCATTTCGTTTACGTGATCTGTTTGAGAGGTGTCGGGAATTTTGTGATTTTGCAAAAAAAAACAACATTTACTTCAATTATCATTGGAACGGCAATTAGAACTTAAGTGCCTTATCCTATTTCAAGTAAAAGCCAATGTCACTGCAGCATGACAACAGACTGCCCGAGGTAGATATCAACCTTGGGACATCTGATTTAAATTTCATAGCTCTAACCACTAATCCACGGAGACCATTGGAAAAAAATATCTAATTTGACTTCGACTCATTAAAATTCACCTTGGGTATGATAATTTTACACCCTTTTTATTTTATTCCAGGCCCTCTGGGACGAGACAGAATTTATGAGCATTAGAATTACATAGGTACCAAAAAAATTAACCAAAAATATGCCAAAAAGAAAATATTTCAAATATATAAAAAATTAAAACAAATTTATACAACAATTACTTACATTAAAATATAATCACCCCCAATTAATGAACGTGATTGTTCCAAATCTGTTTAAATTAATGATCTTAAAGAATTTTCAATTCTGGCATTATTCCAAAAATAGATTTTTATTACCAGTTAAAAGAACACATTTTACAATAAAATGGTTGATATAGATAAAAATTGTAAAATAATGAGAGAAAAAAACTGTCGCATTATAATTTTAGTCAATGATGATATTCAATTATAATTTGATGAAATATAAGCACAGAAAGATTACAAACAAAGATTGGTCTTTAGTAAAGATCGGCCGGGCCGTTTCTTAATAATTAAATGTTGAAAATAAAATCGATGATTTTGATGAAACTTTGTATAACGATAGATTTTATAGTCTGAAATAATATATTAAAATATTACAGACTTACGATAAGCGGTTAAATTATAAAAATGCATCAATGGTTAAAATTTTGTCGCGTTTAAGCGGTTCTAACCTCGAAGCATATGAACGTTCCGTGTTTCATACGTAGCTACTGATTACAGTTTAAGTCCACACTTAAATCATTTTTAGAACTCAAAATGAATGAAACGAAATGAGGTAACCAAATTAATTTAATTTATGCAAATACATATATTATAAGTAGATGTGTTCCAAACAATTTATTTAAGAACAAAAATTTTATTTTTGAAATAAATAGCTGAATTTCCTTAAATAAATAAACTATACCGTTTTTCTATTTTGGATATTCTTCTCAAACACTAAAAAATTTTTATATTCAATTTCGAACAAATCGAAATTCTAGCTATTTATTAAAGAAATAAACATGTTTTTATTCTTTTTAACATCATCAGTTTTTGTATGAGGTAGGGCGGGGCTAGTTGAGCGAATTTTTACTTAAACGGATGTAGCTACTCAATGAAAAGTCTCAATAAATTGTTATTGAGGATGGATTTGTTGTTTATCGCTTAACAAAAGTGTCAATAGTATTTTTTGGTAATAAGTAAAGTTGAAGAGCTACAGCAAAAAGTCAAGTATGCTGTAGGTGGAGCAAGTTGAGCACTAAGAAAGTATAATGAAACCATAGGATTAATGTCGACTAGTGATGAAATGAAATAACTTTTCAATAATCAGTTCTATATTTATAGTCCTTATTGACAGAGAAAACAAAACTTATTGTAATTTTCTTTGAATAATTAACCGAAAGTAGAATCAACAAAACAATACCGTATCTTAAGAATAATTTTACCATTATATTCAGTCTTTTTGTTTAAAATCATTATTTTTTATATTATTACTCATAGACTTAGCTTAAATCTTGAAAATAATAATTAATTTTTGGAAGTTAATGGTAATTATCTTAGTGACAGAACAAGTTTAGCAACTATGCTCAACTAACCCCAACTCGGAATTTTAAAATAAAAGTGAGTTTATGAAAAAACCGTGAGAATTATACCCAGAATTTTTGTGCATATTAAAAGTACGATAATTATATGGAAGATTAACATTTACCTGATTAAAAACAAATAGCATTTGACTAATCGTGATGATGTTACGCCCTCTAAGAAATTAATCATACATTTCAACATCAAATTTAAACACCTTCAGCATATATATATATATATATATATATATATATATATATGTATGTATGTATATATATATATATATATTATTTTTGTATGTTCTGATCAATCAATTCTAATTGAATTGTTTTTGAAGCATTGAAATCGGTTGAACAATTCTCGCGTGAACGTGACATAATAATTGTATCAAAACAAACACAACTACATTCATTCTGTAAGACACCATTAGGTGAAAGTTATAAATCGTAATATTAATTTATAATCATTATAAATTTTTAGTCAACTTATAAGAACTTAAAATAACGTTGAATCTCCGGTATTTTTATAAGAACCCAATACATTGCTCATAGTTTCCAAACTATGAGAAGTCTCATAACAACAGAATATGTTTTGCAAAGTTCGGTATTAGATAATCTTGTCACACAAAGCTCAATATGCAGATAGATAGAGCCAAAGTTTGATTGGTTTGGGCGGCTTACATTCGTATCACGGCAAATATCTAGTAAATTTCAAATAATACAATATTGAAACGTGTGAAATCGTCATCCGACATCTAATAAGACCAATGTAACGTCAATAGCTAAAGTTTCTCAGAAAATAACTAGTAGTAGATGGTGTTGTGTCATAAAACAATTAGCTACACCCTCCATTTGCAAACCAATTATTATATAATAGAAATATTGAAAAAAAATGCATATACAAATTTAAAAATGGTTGAAGATTTTTGAATTTTTTGGAATACTTGCAGAAAATCTTGCATCTAGTCATAGCGCTGAGGTCTAATTTTCAAATATTATTGCTTTTTTCTTGATTTTCAAGAGAATCTCTAAGTTCCCGGTTCAAACTCGCGTTTTGAACGACCTGATATCAAACAATGTTAATATCCACTTATATTTGAAAATACAGATCATTACTGCATCAAGTTAAAAACTTATCATCGCCATTAAATTAAATGAAATCAGAGAAGAGTATTTCAAAATACAAAAAACTACCATTGAGTTGCCTTCTAAAATGGTCATAGTTTAAAGGTATCATCACAACACCTCTTAAGAAGTTATTTTGGTCAAAATCTTCAAAAAATATATTTTTTTATATTTTCAAAAATTCAAAAATATATGTGCGAAAAAGGACATCATAATTTAAATTATTTTCGTATACGTAGTAGTTTCACCAGGATAATCCTCCTTTGTTTTCTTCCTCCGTGAAACATTAAACGCGTTTTTCTCGAAACTTACTTTTTCGATAACGATACCCACGATTTCTCAACTTCTACTCGACCGATTTACTTGCAATTTTCACAGAGCCTCCTATGAACTACGCTCATCCGCAAATTACGGTCTTAACTATTTTTTTAATTCGAGAATATGAGAAAAAGTTGTAAAAAAAATATTTTTTATCAGACAGTCGTTACTTTGTGAAAAAAAGATTATAACTTGTCTGTAGTTGATACGATTACGACATTATTCTGGATTAGGAATATATATCTTTTTTTTCTTCAGATTATTTGAAGGGCTAAATCCCACTTTATCACTTTCTAGTATTAAAACGTTGTAACTATTTTTAGTATTGATTTTTAACTTCCCGTAGGGCAAGTTATAGTAATCGCAAAAAAATCGAAAATGAAAATTTTTGCATTTTTCGACGTTTCAAAGGTTTCTGAATATTTTGGCATACCTTAGAAAAAATGGATGTATGTGTGTGTGTGTGTGTGTGTGTGTGTGTGCGTGTGTGTATGTATGTGCGGATACAAATTTTCGTCGACGATTTCGGGAAGACCGATCAACCGATTTGAATAATTCAAAAAACATTCGATTCATATTGATAAGGAGACGTGCTGATTAGTTTTTGGCGAAGTCAGGTCTAGCCGTTCCGAAGATACGGGGCAAAAAGTGCAGAAAACGGTAACTCAGTTTTTAAGAGAATGGAGCGTCCGATTTTAATAATTCAAAAAACATTTTACTTGTATTGACAAGGTGAAGAACCGATCAAAGTTTCATAAAGGCAGGTCTAGCGGTTTCGGAGATCTAATGAAAAAAGTAAAAAAACTAGCTGTAAGTGGAATTCTGTCTTAAGGCAATTTTTTTCGAAGTAAATTTTTTTCAAAAATGTTAATCGTTTTTAAAAAAATAATAATTTTTGGTACGGGAAGTTCCAGCAATTTGCCTTAAGGCACGATGCCTCAATTGCCTTAAGACAGAATTCCACTTACAGCTAGTTTGATGTATTTTTAAAACATTAATTTATAGCTTTTAACAAAACGTGTAATAAAAATATTACTTGCCGTTTTTATGGCGCTTTAAAAATCGCATAAAATTTAAGCCTCTAGATCAGAATACCCACCCTTAAGTGTTGATTACAATTTAAAAAAAAAAAATTTATTTCTTTACGTATTTTTATCAAAAATACTAATATATTTTTCAGTGCATTATATAATAAATGTATAAAAATAAAGATAAGAGAAATATGCAAAAAATCATTTTTAGTTTAAAAAAACTATTTAGAAACGTATCAATAATAATTTCAATGATTTATATAAAATAAACTTAAAAACGATTAACTTATATTTTTTTCCATTTTGTTTTAGAACTTCGTCATTGATTACTGCTATCTCTGCTGCAATAAATTTATTTTATAGTACTTCATATCATATTTATTCCTATTTTATTATTTTTGCTATCATTTATTTTGCTAGCTACTTCAATTCTTGTGCATTAACGCAAGCAAAAAACAATTAGCAACAGATACGATACTAGCTTATGTATAAGATATAATAATAACGTGTACTACTGCCCTGAGGCAGGTCCGAGAGCTGTGTTAAAGTCCAATCACGAAAAAAGAGTGTGAGAGATGATTTTCCTTTGCCATTTCACAACGCAGTGCTCGAAATGGGCTTTTTCAATTAGAAACGTATTTTTGACCTTTATTTTCAAGCGAAAACGGACAACGCTACTACACGATATCAGGTCTTCCAGGGCGGGATTCAAACTCACGACTCTGTCCACACGAGTCGGTGAGCTTAACCATTACACCATGAAACACACTAATGTTATTCACACGCACAGACATATAGGAAGGGAAAGGCGGAGCGCAAAGATCCAATTTGACTTTGAGCAAGTATATTGTGAAAACCAAACCAATTATATCACAAATAACACATATCAAACAAACAACTATATGACTACGTTCAGTAAAACTCATAGCCAATTCGTCATTGTAGATATGTGTTTCTTAGCAAAATTTCTCATCTGTCTTTCTTTGCCAATGGGCGGGGGAAGTAAGGTGCAAACAGATCCAAAACCTTTTTTTTAAACTTTGAATTGATTTTACGAAATAATAGCTAGAATATTCAAACGATGCAAAACATAAATTTCATGGGCATATTTGTTACATAGACAACACTGTTTATAACCTTGATCTGGTACTTCGTCAGGAATATTCATCAGCAGAGTTGGAATAACTTAATTTATTATATTTCTTATAAAATTGTTTTTTTTTTAACTCGATTTACATCTTTATGTACTATTTTTAATTGTTTACGCCTTTGCCAGGGAAAAGGATTAATTGGTACTTTTCACCCCATCTGCATTTCACGTTATTATAGAGGTTATATAAGAACATCTGTTAAATTTAACTTAAAATTAACATCTCATAAAACAATTAAATAACGTATTCTTAAAAATTATGGTAAGGTCTCGTAAACTAAGCAACAATGCTCAAAACCAAAAAAACAAAAACGGAAGAAAATACTTTTGTTATAAATTTTTAAACATGGCTATTTATATAATTCATTTGATTTGAGGCGATGGCTTATTATACATATTTTGCCCTCTGCTTTCAAATATTGTCGAAAAATTCCTAACCTTACTTGTTTTTTTAGATATTGTTAGTGGGCTTTTTTACCCGCGGACCTTCAAGCCCCGCTCCACTCCATAAATATATACATATTGTATATATATATACATAAATATATATATATATATATATATATACATATATATATACATATATATATATATACATATATATATACATATATATATATACATATATATATATACATATATATATACATATATATATATATATATATATATATATATATATATATATATGTATATATATATTAGGGTGGTCCTTAAAATGGTCATTTTCAAATTTTCTTGCTCCCAGGGGCTCAAATGGTTCCAAATTGATAAAAAACAATTCTCTGAAAGTTTTAGCTCTTAATATTAACGTTTATATAGAGCGCAATTCAATCAAAGTTCGTATGGAAAAAGCATGGAAAAAATTTTGAAAATTAAAAAAAAAATGTTTTAGGTATAACTTAGCGACAAATGAATGAGTTTTATTCATTTATTTGTTCGCTAAATTACATCTATAAAACATTTTTAAAATTTTTGATATATATATATATATATATATATATATATATATATTAGGGTGGTCTTTAATATGGACATTGTCGAATTTGCTTGCACCCAAGGGCTCAAATGGTTCCAAGTGCGTAATTCAATCAAACTTCGTATGGAAATAGCATGGAAAAATTTTTGAAAATAAAAAATTTTTTTTTAGATATAACTTAGCGACAAATGAATTAAAAGTAAAAATTCGTGTCAATTTTCATTGAAAATTCGACGCTCTGCAAAATTTTTGAAAAATTTTTCATGCTATTTCCATATAAAACTTTGATTTAATTGCGCTCTATCTAAACAATAGTATTAAGAGCTAAAACTTTCAGAGAATTGTTTTTTATCAATTTGGAGCCATTTGAGCCTTTGGGAGCAAGAAAATTCAAAAATGTCCATTTTAAGGACCACCCTAATATATATATATATATATATATATATATATATATAGTACATGTATGTGTGTGTGGATATTCTCGCGATTGATTATATCAATTGACTTTCCGCTTCGAGTCAATACAAATAAATCATCGCAAGCAACCTGAGCAAATGAAAACAATAAAAACAATTTCATCGAAAAGTGCATATAATTAACAACGCGGTTTTAATACTAATCAGAAACGTGATCCAATCTATTTTCAATGCACATATATCATTCTAAAACTAATTCAGGCGAGTAATAACAATCTCACAACTCGACGAGGGCAACGGGAAACTAATGCCCGAACGTATGCCGTGTGCCGTGCGCGCCGACGAGGCGAAAGAGGCGAAAGAGGCGAACGAGGCAACCGAGCCAACCGGGGCAACCGGAGCGACCGGAGCGACCGGAGCGACCGGAGCCACCGGAGCCACCGGGGCAACCGAGACGGCCGACGCGAATGTTATAATACACAGGAGAGTTTTACAGTCATTTCATCTGCATGACAATTATAGTTATAATTTTGTTATTTGTGTTGTACCTATCGCCGACGAGTCGACACAACTTATATTAATAAGTCAACTTTATGAATAAATTAGAACGAATGCGAAACGCATAAATACACTTCACCAGCAAACGTAATCGTACATGACTGATTGTATGAGAGTATTTAACATATAAAACCATGTTAATTTAAACGTTTTGTCTATAAACACATTAACACCTTATCTAATTATACAAAATACCTTTACCAAAATAAAGAAGTTCTCTCTATTGGGTGTGTGGCATATGTTTTCAAATGTAGTATTTATCACGAAACACGAAACTAAAATCAAAATTGGTAGTCAAATGGCACAAAATCGAAAAAAATTAAAACTAGTGGTGTATGGGATCGTGTCTTCAGGCAAATTGCTGGAACTTCCCGTACCGAATTAAAATTTTGAATTATTTTCGACATTCAAAAAAAACTATTTTGTAAATATAAAAAAATGAAGATTTTTTTTTCCTTTTTTAAAAAAACAATGGTTTCGTCAACACAAGCAGAAAGTTTTTTGAATCCTTCAAATCGGATGCTTATTTCTCTCAAAAACTGCCATTTTAAGTACATTTTGCACCGTATTTCAAAACGGCTAGACCTGCCTTTGCCCAAAACTAATCACCACTTCACCCCATCATTACGAGTTGAACGTTTTTTGGATCATTCAAATCGGATGCTTCGTTCTCTCAAAAACTGGATTTTTATTTTTTGCACTCTTTGCTCCGTAACTCCAAAACGGCCGGATCGACCTTTACCAAAAACTAATCAGCATTCAAATCGGTTGATTAGTGCACTCAAAAACGTGGACGAAAAATTGTATCCATACATACATACACACATATTCATTTTTTCTAAGGTATGCCAAAATGTTCAGAAACCTTCAAAACGTAAAGATATGCATATGAATTATTAATATGTGTTAGTGATAATATAAATAATTCAAGTAAGTAATGTTTTATGCAATTCTCTTTAGTTAAAACTTTTCTTTTTACTATTGCTTATGTATATTCAATTTGTAACGTTACTTTCTGTTTTTTTTTTTTTTTTTTAAATTGTAGAACCACTGAAGATGACGTAGAATTTTACGTCGAAACGTATGGAAGAATAAAGATGTTTTGAAAAAAATCTTTACTTTACTTATTTTTCACTTGATGTTACGCCCTCCAAGAAATCAATCATATATATATATATATATATATATATATATATATATATATATATATATATAGAAAATATAGATAAAAAATATTTTTCGATTTGAAAATGAGCCCATCTCGGGCGCTGTGGGGTGAAATGATAACGGAAAATCTCTCACACTATTCTTTCCTGAATTGAATTGGAGTTTAACTCAGCTCACGAACCTGCCCTAGGGCAGTACTACCCACTATCTTATAATTTCAACGTTTTGAAACTAAGTATTTTCAAAAAAAAATAAAAATACTAATATTTTAACAATAAAAGTATGAAAATAAAACATTAAAAAAATACTTTATATAAAACGTAAAAATGGTAATACGATGTTGAAATCCAAGATAAAATGAATATTTCAAGCGAATAACTATAATGTAAATATTTTCATTACTTTTAAATAATTTTTATCACTTTTATAAAAACAGAGCGCGATTGTATAAACAAATGATAGAACATCAGTATTTCGATTTCAGTAACACGAATAATTGTTTTATTGATTTTTAACTAAGCAAACATTAATAAATAAGTAAGTCAAATCGTACTACTGTTAAGTAGAATAGCACAAATTCACTTACAAATAATGTATATTTTTTCATTTCTAGTAATATCCAACGGAAAATCTCAAACCTTACAAGACAACGCCACGTCTGCTCATGTCGACCACCTGAATCCACTGAAGGAATCCGAGGTGCTTGGAATCGGCGAACGTTATCGCAGACTCATTCCTTACATGACTTTTTACCTCACCAACGACTATCTGGTGCCGGAAACCCAAGTCCAAAGACTTAATTCCCACGATGAACCTCAACAGCTGGAATTGCAGCAGCAGCAGCAGCAGCAGCAGCCGCAACAGCAACAGCGGCCTGATAGACTACGACAGGAACCCAAACAAGGCGAGAAGTATGTGGCGAGTTCCCAAGTTGAACCTCGCCAACTGCAGTATCGATACAAGATTCTGAGACCAAATAGTGGATACGCTTTTACACCCTCAGTGCCATACACAAAAACTTCAGGGAGGTTCATCCCCATTCAAGTGCAAAGAGTGAGTCACTGTTGAATTTATTTTATTATATTGCCCCTTTTTTATTTTTGAATTGGAAACAACGAAACACATACACACACTTCTCCTTTGAGAAGTTAAAGTTAATTACAACTGAATACTGATGTTGACAATATTATATGTCGAAACGATTGAAAAACTATAAATTGTTCAAAATCCACTGTATAACACGGTACATCTATAACACGGTTCGAGAATAGAGAATATCTTCCTTATAAGACAGTACTTTTATAACACGGTTCAAGTTTAGCACGGTTCTAGTATTGGGCAAAACTCTAATAAAGCTGTTAAAAGCTTAATTTATATAATTAAGTAAGATAAATTAATTTTATCTAATTAAGAATCAATTTAATAACTGTACTACGGCTCAATAAATCTGATAAAACTAGCTAACTCGATAACTATTCGAGCGCGTATGTTCCAGATGAAAAAGGACTTTTAAACTTTACCAAACAATTTCTTAAATGAAGATGTTTCAAATAAGATGAGCACAAAATTTAAAAGAAAATTTCACATGTATTTAGAATCGTATAATAAAATCTTTAAACGTTTTGAAGATCTTTTAACCAGAAAACAAGTAAGCACGATAAAAAACCCTTACATTATAAGGATATCTTTCCAAAAAAAAAACGCTAGCGGTGAACAGCACTTTGTCATAACAACTAAAATAATTCATTTCAATTAAATATAATGAATCATTTGATTTATTCATTATGTATCTTCTTTATAAAAATCCTATAGATATGTTCACTTTATTTCGTATACTACAAATTCGCAATGCCGTGCGTGGACAGGGTCGTGAGCTAGAACTCCCACTCTGGACAACCTGATATCATGTAGTAGTGATATCAATTTGCACTTGCATAAAAAAATAAATAGCATATTTCTGACACTGCAGTGTAAAATGGCAATAGAAAATTTCTCACAATATTCTTCCCTGATTCGAGTTGGACTTAAACTCAGCTCACGTACCTGCACTAGGGAATCTATTCCATAATATATATTCCATCATATATTTAACACAATACTTCAACTTTCCGTTCTAAAATATTTAGGTGACATAATTTCGTAGTCATACAAACGAACTCAATTTATATATGTATAGTATTATAATTTAATTCGATATATGATAAATTCTATATAACTCTTAGTTTGGCATATTATTGAAATCAATGTAATATCTATCAAAAAATACCACGAAAAATTACCAGGTCACCCAAACAAATATTTAAAAGAACTAGCGGGGCGCATGGCATCGTGCCTTCAGGCAAATTGCTGGAACTTTTCGTACCAAAAATTATTTTTTTAAAAGATTAACATTTTTGAAAAAAATTCACTCTGAAAAATTAGATTTTTGAGAAACTATAAATTTTTGATAAAAATTTACTTTTTTAAAAAAAAAAAAGACTTTGAAGAAAAGTGAATTTTGAAATATTTTGGAAATCTGAACCTTTTTTCAAAGCAATCGTACTGCTTTCGGAAACACCGATCAACCGATTTGAATGATTCAAAAAACATTCGATTCGTATTGATAAGGAGACGTGCTGATTAGTTTTTGGCAAAGGCAGGTCTAGCCGTTCCGAAGATATGGGGCAAAAAGTGCCAAAAACGGTAACTCAGTTTTTAAGAGAACGGAGCGTCCGATTTGAATAATTCAAAAAACGTAATTAACATAACATAAAACATTGTTGAATTGAAGTTGAAACATTGAAGAACTGATCAAATTTTCATGAAGGCAGGTGTAGCGGTTTCGGAGGTCTAGAAAAAAAAGTAAAAAAAATGCCATCTGGCGGTCAAAAGTGATCATAAGACATATGCACATCAAATTATCAGATATTTTATAGAAATTTTAACAATAAGTATAAATTTTGTTTACATTCCTATGGTTTCCGTACCAATGCTTATCCGTTAGACGGCGGCGCGGCGCTTACGCGCTTCGATATTTTGTCTCTATGCAGTTAAAGCAGTACGACTTTCGAAAAAAAGTTCAGAATTTCCAAAATATGTTATGAAGAAAACATTTTTTCAAAAATGTTAATCGTTTTTAAAAAAATAATATTTTTTGGTACGGGAAGTTCTAGCCTTAAGGCACGATGCCTTAAGGCACGATGCCGTGCGCCCCACTAGTTGAATTATTCAAATCGCTTCATCCGTGTTCCCGAAATCGTCGACGAAAATTTGTATCCGAACACGCATACACACACGCACACACATACACACACACAAACATCAATTTTTTTCTAAGGTATGCCAAAATATTCAGAAACCTCTGAAACGTAAAGATATATAAAAATTTTCATTTTCGATTTTTTTGCGATTACTATAACTTACCCCACGGGAAGTTAATTGAGTGAGAAATCTCGTACTCGAAGTTTGAAAAAAATGCCCGTGCGATCTTAAATGAAATGTCAAAAAATAAAAAAAAAGATATCTCATAGAAGATAAATTCTTTAAATGCATTTACAGCCAGCATATTAAAAATTAGATTATTTTGATCGGCAATAAATCTATTAAAAAAATGGTATCTATATATAGATTCATTTATTATATATGTATTATAAAGAAAATAAAAGTCACATGGATTTCTTTAACATAATACACATTAGATGCGACTGAATAATACGTAAAATATTAACAAATAAAAATATCTATTGTATCATTATTGGATCTCGTGTTGATTCCACAAACTGTCTCCAAACTAATTCCATTCACTAATTGGCATGTTGATCCGCATTTCATACAAAACATTATGATTTGTGTCTCATACCAGAATCACTGCAGCGTCTAATTGCCCCTTGCGAAACGTATGTTGACAATGGATAGGAAACATTCTAACTTTAGTTTTGTTTAAATTATATGCTAGATTTTCCCAAAGGTACCGACCGATGATATCCAACTTTCACCATAGGATAGATTATGAATACAGAGTATCAGATCAAAAAACTAATAGTCGAGCACTGAGCGTTCTATAATAGTCTAATATCAATGTTATATAATATATACACAGTCAATTCCCCGTTAACGCGGTGAGTGCGTACTGTGTAGTAAGGAAACCGTATTGCGTTCTTTGGAAACTTGCTATTGCGTTGTATGGGAACCGCGCTATGAGAAACTCAGAATTAGTACAACTCGCGGCATTTTTATCGCGTTATATGGAAACCAATAAATACAACTGTGAGTAGGAGTAATACGGACAAAATGGCATAAGCGCCTTATTTAAAAATTGGCGCAACACGGTAGTCAGTCGAAGGTGTTCGCGCCTTCATACGTTTATTTTGTGCAGTTTTCTCATGTTTTTGAAGACATATTTATTGCTATTTGTGATTATTTTATTTAAGGTTCGAATTGTGCGATCATTCAATTTGTGTAATAGGAGGTCCGTGTTATCGGAGGAACGTCAAATTTTCAGCTCGGTGTAGTATGTGAACCGCGTTTCCAGTGTATATGTGACCTATATATGGAGCAAAATAATTGCGGATGTAAAAGTACGTATCACATAAGCAAAAGGGGTAGCTAATATAACTAGCATGAATGGTTTACCCACTGCAAGGCATGCCACATCTAAATGTTCACAGTTCACCCTCAAATCTAGAACTTGGCTTGCTATTGGATTATATTAATAGTTAATGCCAATGTGAAACCGATTACATTCAAATTGGCACATTTGGAGACTTGAGGTTTTAATATACATATTTTCCGAGCTTTGGCTATATCAAACATTCACTTACTGAAAGCGGGATGAGGGCCGTTTTTGAATAACACTTTATAAAAAAATGAAATAAAAAAAATGTCCCAAAAGATAAAAAAAAATTACGGGTGGCCAACCATCACTAATTAGGAATAACAAAAATAGATGCTAGCTTAGTCCTACTAAATGTGAACGTAGAATTTCATGAAAACCGGTCATCCTATAATGATGACGTAGAATTTTAGATACTTTATACAAAGAAGAAAGATATGTACTTATGTAAGATTGTCAGTTCAAATTGAAGTTAAAAATTAAACATATGCGCATACTTTGTAGTACAAAAACGGAATAAATTCTAACAATCAATTATTTTGTAACCAAAACTTTTTTTGAGTATCATAAAACTTTTTATCGAAAATATAAAATCTCATCCAATAAGCTTGTGCGCTTAATAACTTCTATCGTTGGGAATATTGACCTCGTATTATTATAGACAATCAATTGTGTTCTTCAATTTTATAAAATTATTATTTTCCAGCCAAGCAACTACTACGTGCGTAAACCATACAAAACTATACAAACGACATATAGTCCACAAACAAATAAAGGATACAGCAGCACAAAATTCAGCTCTCAATACGTTCCGCACCAACAACCACAAGCTCAACCTCATCCCCAACCCCAATATGGAGATCGACAAGTACCTTTAAGAAATGATCACAGATTCTCACAGTCTTTACGACCACCTGCAGTTCACCGACATCAATCCAGTAAAATCCAATCCCAAAACGCCCCTCTTCTGATTTACTACGGAAACGATTATGATGATAAATATGTGAACTATGTACCCCAGCAACACTACAAGTTAGAAAATGTAATTTCTGATGACCACGAAGAGTACAGGCAACCACAAGGGTTCGAGAAGGTCAAGCAGTACCAGACTCCGACTCCGGGAGAAGTCTCACAACTAAAACATATCGAATTTACTGGCGGCTTTCAGCCTATCACTGTGACAACAGATCAACCCATGGGAGTTCCACAAGGTTTTTCGATAAGACCGAAATATAAGCATGTGTATCAGAAACCTCCTGTAGTAGACCATTACGATAGAGAAGAGGAAGAGAAACAAGTGACGCATAAATATTACGATGAAGACATTAAACCAAATCCTCAACATAAATACGAAACTGTTACAGAAACACAGTATGATAGGCCTCAAACTCAACAAGAATATAAAGCCAAACAAGAACAAGATAAATTACAAGACTCTAGAAATTCTTTATCGATAATATTGAAAAAACTGCAAGAAAGTAATACCTTGCCCCATACGCTGACCACTGATAATATCGATAATTCCATAAAAACACTTGTGCAAATATTAAACAACTTAAAACAAACTCACAAAAACGTTGAAGTTTTGTCACAAGTTCCAGTTAATAATTATGAAGTACAACCGATCAGAACTTCCATAGAAAATGTGCAAGATGAAAAAGTTGAAGAAGAAGAAGTAGAAGAAGAAGAGGAAGAAGGTATATTTAATTTAATTTAATTTAATTACCTTTATTATATTAATCTGTTTATTATTTTGATCAACTAAACCGTCGACCAAATAAATAATAATATACTTGAAAGCAATTCAGTATATCAAGAAATTTAAGAATTCAGCTTGTGGCAGTAAAATTGATCGACTTTACGTAGTTGAGTCATGTGAGTCTTTTCAAATCTAGTTACCAGAAATATATCAGCGACTTCTAAACAATTCTCATTCTAAACAATATAAGTAAATGTTATAAAGAACTAATATTTATTATTTAACTTCATTGTAGATTTGGAGTCTCCCCACTCAATTAAATATTCAGGACCTTCCACGGGTAGACCTGGCATCGACTACCCAACACTGTCCGAAATTCCAGTAACCAATTTTAATTGCAGAGAACAACGATACAAAGGATTTTTTGGTGATCCAGACACTAATTGTCAAGTGAGAACCTAGTTACTTAGTATAATATTCAAACTGAATTTTTAAGCCGTATAAATTTCAACAATATATAACTTTTGATATGATGATTATAAAATTTTCTCGCAGGTTTGGCATTATTGCGATTTGAATGGTGGTCAAGCATCTTTCCTGTGCCCAAATGGAACCATATTCAGTCAGGTAAAATTTTGAAACATGTAATTATTCAATTGTTAACACTGTGACATATGTTAGCCCAGGACTAATTCATCATTGATACCAAAAAACATGAATTGTTCAAACAATATTAAAAACTAGCATTATGCTATACAAGCAAAACAAAGCGGCTCACTACATTTTTCAAAATATTTAGAAGTTTTCAGACAAAAACATTACAGTAAAAATGTAACGCGTTAAAATTAGACTTGATCGATTGGCAATTCAAAATTGAATTCAAATGTGAGTTATACGTGGTTAGGAAAAAATATAATTTATTCAATTTTGATACATTTAAATAGTCATATCGTATTTCACTCTTATTAATCGTTAATGGCATAAGATTTATTACCAATATAAAAAATAAATGCACTTTTTGCACGTTCAGATTAAATTTCTATTTTTGATAGCAGTTTTAATATGTTGCTGATTCATAAAAATGAATTATGTGCTTTTATACAAATTTCATATTTTTTATATTGAAAGTTACAAGAGATATTATGAAAATCGAAGTTTCGTTTCCATAGTTTTTTCCATAGTTTCGTATCACTTACGTCCTTTTCTTAAAAACAATTAAATAATTTGAGGAAATTTTTAAAATTCGCCATAAGCAAATGGACTAAACGCACGATAATTAAATACTGAATTGCAATTTTGGAAACTGTTTTTCATGTGTATTGGTTAATCATATCTACTGTCACCTGTATAATGTTAAAAACTATAAAAAATAATTTGAGTAAAGATTGCAAATTTTCTCCATACACATATGCACTCATGAGCATCGAGTTTGATCACAAAAGAAATTTTGCTTTTATCCCTGTTGCTACGAGAATGTTTTCCGCAGGAGTGTCGCTGCTGTGCGGAAATAGCGCGCCACACAGTTGCACTACTCTGAACGGACAGGCACAACAATATATTTTAAGATATTTCTATCACTATCGATAAAAACGTGTTGAAAAATTAAAGTTTAAGCTTCTGATAACATAGAAATTATAATAAAAATTATCTTGAAGTGAAGTCTAACATACAGCATGTGGTCCATACACACTGCACGTTATGTGGATGTCGTCCATTGACGACCTTCGTATACACAGTTAGTAGAGTGGATATCGTCTATGGGCGACACTCGTAGCAAAATGGTTAATCAAATACCGAATTGAAAAAATAGCTTGAAAGTTATATATAACATAATACAAAACTATTTTTCGTGGATCATATTAACCATAATTTGATCGTCATAGACATAGAAACTATTAAAACGAGATTCAAGTTGAATCACAAAATCTGTATAGGGCGGTAATTAAACCCGTGTGGACCTACAGAATTCAACTTTGGGGTACTGCTAAAAAGTGCAAATTAAACATAATTCAACGTGCACAAAATAAATTCTTGTGGCAAATATTAAACCCTCCACAAAGACACAGGCATATACCTACAATTCTAGAACATATAACAATGGTTGCCAACAATTATAAAAGCAGAATAGACGTCCATCCTAACCAATTAGCATCTCGTGTATACCTGGAAAGCCAGCCCACAAGGCTTTGAAAAAAATATCCGGAAACCTAATATAGTTTAACTATAATAATACTTTCATTTTACTATATTTTATTGTTTTTAGTTTTTTTTTATTTTAATTAGCTCTAGTAGATACGCCATTGGGAAATATATAGATTGCAGAATAAAATTAAATAATACAAAAAAATCGCGTAATCATAAAACCGTTCTATTCGTCGTAAATTTCAAAATGTTTTCTAATTCCAGGTTGCCCTGACGTGTGATTGGTGGTTCAATGTAAAATGTTCTACAACTGCGCAATTGTATGTTCTTAATGAAAGATTGTACAAATACATCCTACCATTTACTCCAAAATTTCCGGAAGACTACAGCGGACCATTAGTTGACAAGTAAGTACAAAAACTAAATGGTAAATGTCTCAAGAAAATGGAAAATGGTATATACTGGAACTTTCCGTTTTATAACCATAAATTAAATGCAAGAATATGATAAACAATTTAAATGCCACATTTTCAAAATTAATTAATTTTATTTTTTCATAAAGTTTGAACAAAATAGGTGAGATAGAGGGCGAGGCTTAAAAAGATCCGCGGGTAGAAAGATCCACCAAAATTATCTTAAAAACTAGTGAAGTATGGTATTTTTAAACGATTCTATTTCAAAGTATAGGGCAAAAGGGCTTTAACTAGCCATTGGTTGAATTCGGGTGACATCGCTATCACGTGATGAACGGCCACGTTGTCAATTTTTTAACAAAGGTGTTTCGTTGTTATTTTTTTTTTGGTTTTGAAAGCTATTTTTAGTGTACGATACTTGAATATAATTTCTTACGCATACGTTACTATCATCTTTATTATTATTTTATAATATATTTTTTTATTTTTTTGTTAGATTGAAGAAAAGTATGTAAAGCAAAGTAAATTTCATAAAAGTTCACATTTAGTTGGGTAAAAAAAACTAAATTCACCTTTACACTGTAAATTTTGCAATGTAAAGGTGAATTTAGTTTTTACAGTGTAAAAGGTGTAAGCAATAAGAAAATGGTAAATAAAAGTAAAAGAAATAGCAAAATAAGTCAAAAAACACGGTTTTACAAAAGAAAAATTGAATTAATAATTATTTCAACTCTTGTGATGAATTCTGCCGACAAAGGTTAAGGTAAAGGTTATGTACAGTATGATTTTTGTAAGATATGTGTCTATGGAATATGCATTTTGAATAGAAGTTGTATTTACTATATTTGTAATAATTGTATTTTGAGAAACAATGAATCTGAGTACAATAAAAAGAAATATCTACCAAAGCAAGATTCATGATAGTAGTAAGAGTTGTTTATAATATTAAACAATATATTTATATATTTAAATGATATTTTTAAATTCAGCTGTTTAATTTAATATAATAATTAAAATGCATGGCAATGATTAAATAATTAAGCTATTATTCTGTGAAACCTCTATAAAATTATAAATAAATAAAATAGTGCTCCTTTTTGCCATTTTTGCTGTCCCTATTCACCCAGACTATGGGGTTTTAAAAAAGAAAAATAACAAATTAAAAAAAAACATGTTTACAATTATGAATTAGCTGAGAATTTTACTGAACATAGTTTGACAGTTGTTTGTTTGATCTGTGATATGCGTTGGGATGTAGTTGATTTTTGTGCCCTTCCCTATCTTACACAGATTATTTATTTTATAACTTTAATATTTTAAATTTTTGCTTACATAAAATTTCTGGTGTACCAATTTTTTTTTCTCAGATATCTGGCGATTAAATTCCGTGAAATGGAGGACAAAATGAAGAAAAGGAAAAAACTCGAGAATCCAGTTGTCGAAAGTGAAAAAGCCGAAGTTATCGAGATCAAACCGAATGGAGAACCTCTACGAAATAAATAATATAGTGACCGATTTTTTATTTTGAATTTCATCATTGTAGATAATTCATTCCCACATCTAGTTTATATGTCTGGGTAGTTATAGTTCGCGAAAATACCCGAAAATGTTAAAAAATGATATAACTTAATCATAGGATAATTTATAAACAACATAATTTATATAAATAATAAAAAAATATGAACACTGCGAGGAGATTTAGGAAGCAGATTTTACTAATATTAGGAGCATTTCTCAACAATACTGACTTTAGCAATGGATCCATAATCAAAATATTTTTAAATATATATAATATAAAGATTCATAATCAAAATAATAAAAAACCGTGATAAATACTACGTTCTATAAGTTGTTTTAGAAACTTTGCTTACAAGCACGATTATTTTTATTTGAATTTATTTTTCTTCTTGTTGTCGTCCATTATTCGCTCTAATTTTTCTTCGATGGATCCACGCTATAAAAAAGAATTATTTAAAAAAAATATAAAAATTTGCAATATATGCACATATATGCATATGCTTTTTCCTCTAGTCATTTTGCAACGAGAATTTTGATTGCAATCATACTAGTGCGTAAACATCACATATATTTAATTTGACGATATGAAAATGCTCTAATTTGCTATTTTTTATTTAATATAGTTTTAGTAAGCTATAAGCAATGGCATTCAATAGAAATCCAAATTTTCAAGGCCATTTTTATCTTGAACTGATAATAAAACTACTCACATTATTGACAAACTGCTCTCAACTACGAAAATTTGCGATAAATCGATAAAAATTAATTGCTTTTAGCATCAAATAATAATAGAAAATTATTAAAAAACATCATTAGTAATATATGGCATCAAAACAACTAAGCCAACAATCGGAATTCTAATGGAGCAACTTTTGCCAAATATGGTCGATAAATTTTAATTTCATCCTAAATCATCAGTTGAAGCCGGATCTTAATACTTGATCGGCTTATTTTGCATATTTGGTTCAAATATTTAAAAATATTCGGGAAATGTTTGTTTAGTTTTTATTTTCTCAAAAATACATAACTATCTAAAGTGTATTTCTATCCATTTTTGCCATTGACATAATTGCTGGACGTTATTGATTTTCCTGATCGCCACATTTAGCTTGTAATTTCAGATAATAAATTATAAAAAATTAAGACAAATTGCAAATAATCAAAATAAATAAAATTATACCGAAGTAAAATATAATCAGTTTGGTGCCTTAATTTCTTATTTTTAGGAGATATTTGTATTAGTATCTTCATTCTCAACTATCTCCTAATACTTTCCTAATCTTCAGTAAATACATTTTGCCTATAAATGAATTTATGAGTCAAAAAAATAACGTGAAGAAGTCACCAAATTTAGCCGATATTAATTTTTGCAAAAAAAAATACCATTTTTTTCAGAACCTGACCATATTTTTATTTATGGCGAAAAGCACTTTTCATTCATGAAAACATTTTGAATAGAGAAAATTTAATATTTTTGTCGATTATTGGTATGTAGACATAAATTATTATAAAAATAACGAAAAACACTATTCGATATAATGATTATCTCCCGAGATATTGGAATCCAAAATGTTAAATTCATTTTAATAATAAATTTTAAATTAATATTGATAAATCAAAGGTACACTCAAAAACAGGTAGAGAACATTTAACAGAAAACAAAAGATTCCTTTCTCATATCGACAAGTTTTAGAGAAAAACGTTTCATCCTAAAAGTTTCATTTTTATAATTGGAAAAATATCATTTCAGTTCGATTTATATATTTATCGATAAACTGTCGCAAATGAAATCGTACTCTTACCAAAGAAGAGAAATATATGTCACTGACCTATATAAATGTAATAGATTCCATTACATCCCAGAAATACAACCCTGATTAGATTTGTCGAAGTACCTTCAATAATCCAGGGCATCGCCTGTAAACGATGTTCAAAAAGAAAGTTTATATTTAGTAGACTCATTAAAAACTGAGCCATTAGACGACCATGTAAACAGTATTAATATAACCACATTCTTTTGATTTTTTTTTCTTGAAAATATAATCATCTGAATACATAAGTATAAAATTATTAAAAAGTAAATATATAATCAGGACAATTTATAAAATATAATTCTCAGATAACTTAGATGTATATTGTAGCTCTTTCATGTTGTAATCATGTTCTTTGGCCAGAAATTTGTTGCTATAGTAAGTCTACTATTATCATATGTAAAATAAACTTTCTTCCATGACCTGATTTATTATGAGCAGGCATGGTTACGTAGATCATTACGAATAGTTGCTGATAGTTGTGTGGCCATCGGTTTTAGTTTTAAACATTCATTATAAACATGTAGTATTAAAGTTTTTTGAAATATATACAATTGTTTTATTGATGTATAAAAATTTGAAATAATCAATTTAAAGGTGGAAAACTCGGAACAAACGCTGAAGTTCCGGAAAACAACTTCAGAGCACGTTAGTTGTGCATTCAACACCTAAAACTTGGTCTTAAACAGTTTGATTTGAAATAATATATCAAACAATTTCGGTTTGTTCTATTCACACTGCCATTATATATCTTATATATAAAATTCTTCTGTACGGGTGTATGGTGTGATACTTCTCTTAAACGGTTATTCGGATTTTGATAATTCTTTTTAGAGTTTGTCAAAGGAATTTTTTAAGATTTAATGAACGATAAAACTATAGTAATATTGTAGAAATAAATGGCAAAAATGACAAGAAAAAAACACTTATCATTGTTTGACATTAAACTGTTATCTGCTAGAAATGTCAATTCACTTGAAATTTGAATTTAGCTAAAATTATATGCCTAGATGATATTAGAATATAATATACAAGGAAAATGTAATGTCTACATTACTATTGCCAAAAAGCAGCTGAGATGTGCCAGAAATTAAAATAATATAAGATGCAGTCAACAGTATATATTTGGCAGATAAAATTATATTCAGTTTAATAAATAACGCAACAAGTCAAAAATTGCGTATACAATATTTTTTCAAACCTATGCATGCCGCATTTTGGTTTATTTTACTAAATTATTTAACAAGACAAAAAAATATTTCTACTTATTAAAAAAATGATTTAGAATTTTGTTTCATGTGTCAAAAATTCATTTGTTTGGCATTGGATATGATATATTTAGCAAGTTGATCTTAGATTTTACAAATTAATTCACCTAAGATTTGAACGTTAACAATAATATTATTAAATAAACAATGTTTATCAAATTATTAGTAAGAAATTATAATTGTTAAAAGGCAATTAATGTATGGTACTAGATTATGAAAATTATAGACTAAATTATTGAAGCAATTATGTTGTGTAGCAAAATAAGTGTGATATTGTTCTTTTACCGTAGATACAATATTATTTTTTTTTAATTTCTCATACTGCTTATGCTAAAAAAATGGATCACAAAGGCAGGGCATCAAATATAATACTAAAAAATATAGGATAGGATAGAAAAAAATTTGAACTTTGGAATTGTAGACGTGGGTACAGGACAATATATATATATATATATATATATATATATATGTAGATATGTATAGATATTTATATATATATGTGTGTGTGTGTGTATATGTACTAGCAAACCCGACTTATATATATATATATATATATATATATATATATAGGGTGGTCCTTAATATGAACATTTTAGAAATTCCTTGCTTCCAAAGGCTCAAATACTTCCAAATTGATAAAAAAAATCCTCTATAAGTTTTAGCTCTTAATATTGTCTTTTAGATAGTGCGCAATTCACAATCACTTTCACTTACAATTGCAACTGCCGAAAAATAAATTCTAAATTAAAACTAATTAAAAATTACCTAAAAACTTCAAGATAGAAACGCCTATTAAACTGTCACTATAATCCCTAGAAGCAAAAACTAAAGAGATCACTTAATAAATCAGTTTTTCGAAAAAATGCAAGGAGAGTGAATATGTATTCGGTAAAAACTTCAGAAAACTTACAGATAAATAATGACGATAAATAAATATTTTTCTTAATTTTATGCATCTTTTATATTTTATGAAAAATTTTTACTCTTCCTAAGGGGGCATCAAAACAAATTTTGATACGCACACCCCACCCCCCCCCCCAAGACACGCGACGCCTCTGCTCAGAGCAATATATCTTGAAGCAAGATTGCAAATATAGATTGAATAAATGAATCTCATACTAATATACTGAAATACATTCAGCAAACATTTGAAATATTTAAAAATTTCATTGAGCACACGAAATAATTGAAGCTGCAAATAAATTTGTCACAAAAAGTACTACTACTGAATATGAAATCAGAGGTGACAACCTTTAAAGATTTGCTACGTTTATGAACTAATTACTGAAAAAAATCTTATCGTAACTCAATATGTATTTGAATTAAAAAAATTTATCATCTATAAGCTTTCGAAAATAAAATTATCAACAATATTTGAGAAAAAATCGAATAATTATAAATAAGATAAAAAAATTAATAAAACAAAATCAGTACAGAATGCATTAACAAGCATAGTAAACATTAATTTTTAACCATAAACATTATTTCCTATTGAGACGTAGCAAGGACTTGCCGAGTTTTTCAATGATATCCATGTCGACGTCTCGATAAAACGCCTCTTCGAAATACTTGTTCCGTTTGAACATTTTAAATAAACGTTCGCCGTACTTGCGGGTTTCCAAATGCTTGTCCATTAAAAATTTGGCCATCGTACTAAACATGCGTTTTCGTGTATACTCATTGCTGGTGAGAATATTGTCGGTACCAGCCAACACTGCGATGCACACCAGGAGACGAACGGTCGCGCAACGCACCAGCTGATTCTTGTGACTGTTACGTAAAGGTTACAATTTATAACAACTTAGATTATAGGATTAATTGGCATTTAGCTTATTTATTTGAAATTAAATATATGTTTCATAATGGTGTATCGTGTATCAAATTAGTGCATCGACATTTATTGTCAAATATCATTGGTAACGTAATTGGTAAAATAAGCAAGTTTCCTTATTCGTGAAATTTTTATTAGCTTTAATCAAAATATTTCGTACATTTTTCTTTGCGACGTGTAAAATCTTTTGCCAAAATCTCGTGTAGAAGCTTAGCTGAAATAAGACGTCTAACTGTTTAATTTTTTTTATTGAAACAATTTTCAACTTTTTTTCATAATTTTAAAAAAGACTAATTTACTGATTGATTGGATTTTAATATCAGACAAAAAGCTAATAAAAAATAGAACGTACTATTAACTTGTCAGACTTTATACTATGTATTTAATTTAATACTATCGATTGTTTAGATAAAAGAAAACATGCTACTAACTTAGTTCATGGGGTATTCTAGTGCAGAGGCATGAATTTGAAGTCATTTTAAAATTATCTTAAAAAAACGCAATAAATTATTTCACTATCCATTGTTTATAATTTATTTGTCAACGTTACAAGAGTACAAAAAAAGTAAAAAAAAAAATAGAAATTGTTGATGTGGAGGGGCTTAAAAAATAATCCGAAATGAAAGAAAAAAGATTATTAACCTAGAATGATGGCGCAATGACATATACTACAGACAAAAAATTTAAAAAATACAAAATGGCTATTAATTGAAAAAAAAAACATTTTTTACCACTTTTTGAGTTGGTCGATTTTTTAGGAATAGTAAAAATTTATATTTGGGGAAGAAGCTAAGAAAGAAATCTATAAAAAAAATCTCTGAAAATTTCAAGTTTAGCAAAACTCGAGAAATCGTACGAATATTGAAAAAACAGTTTTGAGAGAGTTTAGCAAAGTAAGGAAACACAAGAGGATTATCGTGGTCAAACTGCTGCATCTCCAAAAATAATTTATATTTAAAAAAATCCCCTCGTACATATACCCCCTTGAATGATAATAATGTTTTCACTGTTTCAGTAAAATTAACACGTCAAAATACCTAAATCTTGATCTAAAACTAAGTGATATATATAACCTGTATTTTATAAGGTAATTCAAGAAAAACCGATTTGCTAAGTTTATGTTTTCTCGACGTTTCAAATCATTCTGAACATTTGAGACCAAATTTAGAAATGGAATGTATGTGAGCCGATTTTGACATGTCTGCGCCGATTTAAAAAATTTGCAAACCATCCGATGAAGCTCGAAAACAATTCGCGGTGGTTAGTTTTGCCCGAGCCAGTTCTTCCGGATTTGCAGAAGTGTAAAAATTTTCGCCCAAGTTTAGAAAAAGTTTAAATAGAATCATTACTGAAATTCAACAATAGAACCCCTTGCTAAAGTGCATTTTTTCGAAAAAAAAACAAAAAAATGGTTTCTTAAAAATTTTTGAACACTAATATAATTCAGGTTGTAATAATAATCTTAAATAAGCTTACTTGGTTTTGTCTAAATATTACTAAAATGAACTTTAAGTTTAGCGACTTTTAGTCAAAAATATTCAAATTATTATCTTTCACGAATATATAATATTTGCTTCGAATTGAAATATTTAATTATCTTCTAAATAAATAAAAGTTTATACCGTTGCGTTGATGTATAGCTATCATTGCTGCATTTAGAGTAGTACCTACTAGAAATATTTTTTGGTGTAAAAATGAAGAAAGTTAATCTGATGACGAATCATATAGTATTATTTTTTGTGTACAACCAATTTTTATATCAACAATATTATGAACAATTATTTTCATTAGTAAATAAAAATAATATTTATATTTAAAATTTTAGTTATTTATATATAATGAACGTTTAGGAAATTATAAATATAGAAATTTAATACGCGATGAAACGAGATTTTTATATGAACTTCGCAAAAAATGATTTTCAATGTTTCCACAGGTTCACATGATTTATTATGTTTGTAAATAATATAAAATTAACTAAAATATTTTTGCGAAGTTGAATAGCAAAATAGATCTAAAACTACTGATCGTAAAATAAATAGATGTTATTTAACGGGTTCATAAATTTCAATAGTTTAAACAATAAAGCTAATTAATAGTATTGTGTTTCTTGTAAATATAAAGTAACGGTACCACTTGTTTGTATAATATAAATAGGGGGTATTAGATTTCTTGTTAACTATTCGATCAATAATCAATTACTCGGATGTCACTTGTGCACACACATGACAACACAACTACAAACTATACTAATATATATATATATATATATATATATATATATACAGTAAACCCTCGCTTTACGCGGCTAGTGCGTACCGTGCAGTATAGGAACCGTGCTATAAGAAACTCGTATTTAACATACAATTCAGACTAATTCGTAGTGCGTTCTATGGAACCTTACATAGTGCAGTACGGGAACCGTGTTATGAGAGACTCAGAGTTGGTACAAATCGCACCATTTTTATCGCGTTGTATGGAGACCAAGAAATACAACTTGAAGTAGGAGAAATACGGACGAAATGACGTGTAGGACATTGACACTTTATTCAAAAATTGGCGCGACGCAGTAGTCAGCTCAAACGTGTTCTTAGGCGGCTATTATACAATAGGGTATGTCTAAAAGATAAAAGTCGATAACAAAATTTACATCAATACCCTTTTGCATAACGAACTTATGGGCTGTTGACCAAATACCGCGTAATAAGAAGTCCGTGTAGTCGGAGGGATGTCGGATTTTTAGCTACGTGTAGTATGGGAACCGTGTACCCAGAGTGCCGTGTAAAGCGAGGGCCTACTGTATATATATATATGCATATATAATCATGCTTTCCTAACTTTTACAGAAGAAAAATTAAAAAATAAATTCTCATTTCTGTTTAACATTACCTACAAATAATTTCAATATAATGAAAATGTTTAATATTGTTCGATAAATTTATGAAATAAGAATTGTAAAAATCGTATAATGGTTTTGTATCTGTTCTTAAATTTATTGTATTTGGAATCGTTATCAATAATTTTCAGCGTTTCGTGGATATGGAGATATCGATTCCAAATATAATAAATTTACGAACAGAAAAATATTACACGATTCTTACAATTTTAATTTTTATAAATCTTTATATTGGCAGGAGTATTTATAATATATAGATATGATAAACAAATAAAAATAAATAGAATCGTTTAAAAATTGATTTGAAATTTGTAGTATTAAAAACTACTCACTAGGGTGAACATTTATTTTCTAGATGCATTTTCAAACATAGTTTTTCGTACGTTTCGATATTTGTTGAGCGTTTGATTTGGAAAATGTACTGAAGTATTTTGGCATAAACAAAAGTTGGCGCATATAATCAGGATTGTAAAATAGTAAAATATTAAAAGATTTTATTATTGAAAAATTTCGAGTAAAAAAATGAAAACCTAAGAATAATACGGGGTAACGGCTAACGCATTTTGATTTCATTCACTTCAGTTTTTTAGGTATTTATTTTTTTACTCGAATTTTTCAAAAATAAAATCAAATGTTACCAATTTGCAATTCTGATTAAATGCGCCAGCTTTTACTTGCCAAAACATTTTAGTACATTTTTAATAACTAAACATTTTCCAGATAAAACATTCAAAAAACATCGAAACGTACCAAAAACTACGTTTGAAAACACATTGAGAAAATACATGTTCACTCTAGTGAGTAGTTTTCAGCACTATAAATTTTAAATAATGTTCTTAAGTTTTTAAAAGAGGGCCACTCAAAATCGACCAATTTGAAAAAAAAAATCAGTTCAACAAAAAGCAATTCTTAGAAACTTAGGGAATTGTATTATTATGTTTTACTGTGGTACTACTAGAAATGTTATTCACGTTACGGTTTCAAAGTTGAAATGAACAAATTAATATAAATTAACCATGATAACCAAACAATGGTTCATAATATCACGAAAGCTCTAGGTTGCATTAAAAACCTTATAATTTGCAAGCAACGTGAGATTTTTTTTTTCTCAATTTCTTCAGGACAGTTAAGATCAATACTATCACCCCGTTTTGGCTTGAAGTTAAGTTCTGGTGCACCCTGTATATATATAATATACCACATTTTAACTAAAAACGCACATTTTTACTAGAGAATGTGTAAACTAGCAGAAATGAAATAGAGCCAACTGTGAAGAAATTTTCGACATATACTTTCATTTCAGAATCCAAAAACCAAAAGTTTGTCTCGCAAAGGAATGAGATGTCATTGTGTTTGAAATTGTTTATATGAGTAAAATATATATTTGTTGCATGCGTGATATATTACCTACAAATTAATAAACTCACCTAGGTCCTTTTGAGCAGAGAGCACGGACAGCATGAAAGGGTGGTATGTAGGTGACCATACGGTCCAATGCAATATTGGCATCCTTCCTTATGAAACGATTTGTATCAGCTGTTTTGCAAAGTAATAAGTCAACTATTTCATCAAATTCCTGAAAAATAAGTGAATAAGTATCTTGAATAAATAATGTAAAGCTTAAACATGTGAAAAATGAATTTTCTACTTAATTGACAAATATTTATGTAACACAGACCAATGTATGTATATACATTGGGTAAAGTAAAAAGAAATCCATTATTAATAGTTAGCTTCAATTATCTGTTTATAGGGTTGTACAAATCCGATCAGGTTCTAGGCGGCGTGAAAGATGAGATTTCGTACTAAAAACTTTTTTGGCAGTTTTGTAATTGATTGGCTCAGTTTTGTTTGAGCGAAAACTCAAGCCAGTTGGTTGAGAATGAGAATAGTGTTTATGGTCCTGATACGTAACAGCCAATTATGCAAAATTTTGGTTTCGTCAATTCATTCGGGTAATTTCGATGTCAAAGACGCACGCGAACTAGATGGCCAATTGCCTAAAATGACGACAAAATCATGAAGTTCAACTATCATGGCAATCGTTTTCGATTGCCTAAGAACCAAAGATTTTATAAAAAACGTTTGTCATTATTTAAATAAACAGGATACAAGAAGAAGCTCGTTGTATATGTGCCACACAAAAACCTGCTGCGAATCGCCGCTGAATCGCAGGGAATTCGTCCCATTTTTGGAGCGGTTGGAGACTAGTGATAAAAATTAGATCATTCAAGACAAAGTGAACCGAAAACCGTCCGCGAAAATTGAATCGCGGTGAATCGGCAAAAATGGTGGCAATGCCAGAATTGAAATTTGGTGTGATTGGCATGGAATTATGTACTTGCCATGAGATTCACATGGTGATCCTGCTCGGGCTCGGATCGTCGTCGAGAGCTTATACACCATGCCCCTTATACACTATGTTTTTTTCTGAACAAGTCACTATAAGCTAATGACATCTCATTCGTTATGGTCGCAACCGATTTTTTTTTATACTCATTTTTCCGTAATTATGTTGCTTGGTTGACGATAGTTCGAAGACTAATTGCCTCACAACAATGAAATCTCTGAATTATATTAATTATGAGTCACTGAGCACGTTATGATCATAATGAGCGCAACATCCTCGCAACAACCCTTTCATTCCACGAACTAAAAACGCTCAAACCCAGAAAGGCACAAACCGACTTGCTTTTCACGCTTACTTTCTTAGCTTCTCCAGAAAATTTTGATAGAGATTAGAAAGAACTATATCAATATCATTAACATAAATATTTAGTTATTTAAAATTCATAAATAGGCATACAACACGTTTATAAAAACGTATGCAAATAAGCGTGTTCAAAACTTTTACGTTAATTTAATATAATTGTGAAAATAAAAACAGTTCTGAAACAAAGAAATAGCTTTGGAATCGAACTACATCTACAAGTTGTGTAAACGGGTTCATGTCAAAAAGAAAATTATTAAAACTTATTTTTCAGGTTTAGTACACAAACAGTATTCATTATGTTGGGATTTTACAATTAAATTTTTATCTAAACAGGAATATTTATTCACTTCCCATAGGACTCAATTAGAGGCATTTGATTCATACTGACGACCTAAAGAGGCAAATTAGTTTTGGGCTCAAGTATATGAAGAGAAAATGAGTAAAAACGACTAATGATTACTATAATTAGATATAAGCAATAAAACTATGAACAAACCGGCCGTTTTGTTAATTTCATGGTGACGAATAGCTCTCCAGATACTTCACAAGCAACTCGACAAGCCTGGGATCTAGGAGACCTCAACATCTGAATTATCTTCCTGTTAACAGCCGACATCTCCTGCTCAAGAACCTCGAACTCCAAATGACGAGACAGTTCCACGATTTCTGTCATTCCTTTCATTGCAATCTCCCTGCCAATAAATTGCATCGTTTTTTTATTCTAAAAGTTATTATAAAAGCTAATAATAAATACCAGTCATCACTATTAACGTGTGCAAGAGCTTTGGAAAGAGATATAGGTTCTACATTCGTCGTGAAAGTCGAATTATGCGTACTTGAAGATTCCGTTTCTGAGCATAACATATGATCCTAAAAATAAAAATAAAATAATGAATAAACAAAAGAAAATATATATATATATATATATATATATATATATATATCCGTACCTCTCCCATTAGTCCCTGAAGACTGCGCTTCTTAGCCACATTAGGTTTCGTACTACTTTTGTCGTTATCTTTACCAGTCAAGTGCCTGCCTGACAGAGCACCAAATTTATTAGCACGCCTCTTACAGATAGAACCTGACGTTGGTCTGGGTTCTCTATATGCCAAACCCTTACTGTTTTTATGCGAAGCTACCGAATAATTATCGTTTTTCGGGCTAAAGTTCACAGAGCTGCTAAAACTCAGTTTACTCATGGCGGCACTAATATTCGATTTTTGCTTATGAGCACGCGGCATCGACGACTTCACCTGTCCGTCATCTTGGTAGTTCGAGGAAACCAAATCTATTTCATTGCTGCTATCTGAGAGAATTTCTTTAGGAGTGCAATACCAAGACAAATCCATGCCTTTAGATGTTATTGGTGTTATTTTATTACGAGGAGTTAATTCATCGGAATGGACGAGCTTGTCGCATGACTCCGATGTCGCAAAATGATGCGGAGGCAATATCCGTTGAAGAATTTGCAGTTCGGGTCGATCCTGGTTGTTCAGCGCAGGTAAGATGAAAGGTTCACTACGAGATCTGGTCTCTGTGGAATAAAAATATATAAAAAAATATATTTATTTATTTATTTATTTATATATATATATATATATATATATATATACATATATACTCGTATATATATACAGGGCCGGTCCTGCCTTGAATGCAATGCATGCAAAAAATGCGGGCGCACGCCTTAGGGGGCGCCAAACGAGGTTTGGAAATGGAATTTATAATATATTATTTTTTATTTTTTTAAATATAAAATCCTGAATACCTAATAGATTATGATAAACAATCCAACTTAACTATGAGTCATAAAAGGCATATTCAGTTTGCAATGTGATATCAATAGAAACAATTAACCAAATAATAACTCTGCAAATTTGTAAATTATTGTTCTGCTTATTGTTTAATGTACCCTTAAATTTTTTTTTCGTTTGAAGTTAACATGGAATCGAAAAAGAAAATATTTAGTGTTCAATCCCGTAAGAGCAAACCTGCGAAAGTTTAAATTAATTATTGAGCGTTATTGATCAAACATAGCAAGCTGATTTAGTTAAAATGGAACTTATTAAAGAAATATATACTAATTATAATAAAGAAAATGGAAAATGGGGAATCAGTGCTCAAAAAATGGCTTGTTTATTCCGTAAAATTGTATTTTAACTTTTGTTTTTGTTGCAAACATATCACATCTGATGAACTTTGAACGTTGAAGACATGCGTGGTTAGGTTTATGGAGCAAATATGAAAAATGAAAGCAAAATGTACTTAGGAACAAAAATCTTTGAGATTTTTTTACACATAATTTAATTATTAACTATGCAAAAATAATACAGATAAAAATATAATTTGTTTGTTTCAGTATAGTTAAGGAAATATGTAATTTCTTTGCATCTTTTACAAATCTTTACTAACACTTTAAAAAGTTTAACTTTAAAATAACAATCTGATACTCTGAATAAGATGGGAAAGTAAAGCTGAATACAATTCGGCCCTTAAGATACCAATAAGGAGAAGTTTAATTCTATTTTAGATATTGTAAATAATGAAAAAATAAACTAAAATAAAATTTAATTTGAAACATGAAATACGAGTGTTATGTCTTTTTTTGCTCTTTTGTCGTGATAGGTTGCTCTTTAGAATAAATCGCATAATAAATAAGTTAAATGTTTCAAAATCACAAATATTAATATTACACCTACGTTAGAAATAATTAAGATTTTGAAAATATTTGATTATGATCAACCCCCGAATAGCCTCGATTTTTTAAATAAATTTAAAATCAATGTATTTTATACGCTTTTAGATTATATCTAATTTTTTGTGTACTAAAGTGTGTGCGCAAATTTCCAGAATGATTTATAATTATTATTATTTACTTTATTTACTTTACTTTAATTATAATTTAAAAAAATAAAGTAAATGTTTATATAATTTCAATGAAAAACTGTTAAAACAGTTAAATATATTTGGGGGGGGGGGGGGCGCTAGAACAAATCTTGCATGCGGGCGCTGAGAACCCCAGGACCGGCCCTGTATATATATATATATATATATATATATATATATATATATACATAGGAACCGAACAACAATATATACATATTAAAACTCATATCATCAAGTTGGCAACTAAGTGAGTTCGGACTTTTGTTAGAAAATCAAATATATTTGTTTCGTGCAACTAAATAACTTTATTCTGTAATGCATTATCTGTTATCCATATTGATCAATGACTAGTAGATCTTTCAAGCAACATTATTATATCACTTTCATAGAAAATCTGATTTTTATTAGGAAAAAACTGAATCAGATACAAAGACCATCACAACCATTGATTTTTTTACCATTCAAGGAGTTTCGTGAAGATTTAAACAAAAATAATCAGGTCAAAACTACTTGGTGGATGTGGCAAAACATTTCAACAAAGCACCAATAATTTTAGCGAGTACCCAAATTTATGTTACGTCAATGATGAAATGAACCACAGTTACGATTTATCAACTCGGGCCGCTGTTCTTTAACTGCATTGTTTAATTTCGTTAGTTCAGTTAGGTGGTAAGAGTACAAGCAGACAAATTCCTTTGGAACCAACTGAAAATGGACGACGACCAAAGCAAAAATTTGCCAAACCAATTTCGATACTGCTGTTTCTTTGTAATCTTAAGATGCCTTCTTATCTTTGCAGAAATAAAAAAGAAAAATATGGCAAAAAAATCAATTTGATTTTCCATTTTTACAAACAAAAGATACAGACTAATACCAAACGTATTCACCAAAAAATACCCTTTGTGTTAAGCTTATTTTAAAACTTATAATTTTGTGTCGAATTAAAAGGTTGGCCTAGTATTTTACTTTGCAGACCAATAAAATACCTAATTAATTTAAGCGAGAGATTGAAATGTCGTAAGACAACTATATCAAACTAAAAAAAAATTGCATTTGCCAGGTTTGAATTTTACATTTGTAGATTCAATCAGTTAAGTTATAATAAGGTACAAGGTGCTTTGTAAAGTACTAGTTTCAATAAGAAACGATGGCAAAGAAGAAGGTGCGAACACCATAAATTATAATTTTTTTCATGCTGAATTATGCGCGATTCAAATATTTATTAAAAATTGAAGTTGATGGTCTAGCTGACTGCTAAATGTCGCTATAGAGCAGCGTTTCTCAAACTTATTTTCTCCATCGCCCCCTTTGAAGATCAAAATTTTTGTATCGCCGCCCCACCAAATTTTTTATACAAACTCTGAAAGTCTGTGAGATTTGCTATATAATTTTTTGATGATATCAGGTTTTCACACAGCTGTGTGTCCTTATTTTCTAAAAACTCTACAACAGAGTCAAACAGATTGTAAAAACGGGTCAGACAATTTCCTTTCGATAGCCAATTTTTTGGTAAAAAACTATAAAATGGTATCAAAATCATTTAAACACCATGGTAACACGACCAAACTTATAAAGTACCAATTAATCGTTGGGATACAAATTCTGGTGAACTTTAAAATGTAAAGTAAATAAAATTACAAATGCCCCCTAACCCAACGCCAACAACCAACATTTTTCACGAGGCCTTTCATCGCCCCCCTGGAGATCAATATCGCCCACCAGGGGGCGATATCGCCCACTTTGAGAAAGACTGCTATAGAGCAATGAATTTTCACAAAGTTTGAAAGACCAATTAAATAAAAATTATAAAATTATTTGCTGTTATCAGCGGGCAAACTTTAATTTTAAAAAATTCTTAATATATATTTGATTTAATATACATATATTAATTTGAGTTTCTATGTAAATTCAGTTTGAATCAATGCCATTTCTTTAACTCAAATCATTGAAGCCAAAATAAATATACTACTGGATCAGAAAATATTAAGTTAAATTAGCAAGAAAAACATTTTTATTCGCCTTATTATTGGCCCAAAAAAGTGCGTGTTTAACCAATCGAGATTACTCAATACTTATATATACTTCCATTCAGAGGAATTAAAAAATTTCGTGTATCGCATTTTTGTGAATTCTTCAACTACATGGTCTTCTAAAAGATTTTTGTCTTTTTGACCGAATTGATATTTTTCTGCTATGTGATATGAACAGTCGAAGTGGTTAGTAAGAATGAAAGAACATATGAACTGATTACACAGGTCAACAAAGAAAATGGTGCAAACGATTTTAATACTGTTTTTAAGTATATTTGGGGCGCTGATTTCAAAAATGACATTGGTTTTTTTCTATGAGCTTTAGTTTTGAAGATACAATATATATGATATATTTTACGATATTAGGTGCGCAACTAAGTTCTCGCTGTTTTTTTCGATGAAAATGTAACTTTATTATAAAAAAAATGCATCAATTGAGTTCGATACAGTTCTCCAGTGATGGTTTCACTCGGTTTCAACAGCTCATAACAAATAACACCGATCTGGTCCCACCATATGTAGAACCATAACCTTCGAAGTGAATATTCGGCCGAACCGAGATTTTCTCGTCTTTGGATTGCTGTAATGTATTTATTTTTTATCACCTGTCACGATGTGATGAAGAACCTCTTCTTTTCTCGCCGCTGGAGCAGTTGTTTACAGGCGAAAAAACGACGTTCGACGTCTCTTGGCTTCAACTCACAAGGAACCGAAGTTTCTTGCTTCTAAATCATCCCCGACGCATACTATAGCTTGGAAATGGTTTGATGGGTAACTCCTAATTCTAAAGCAAGATCTTCTTGAGTTTGGCACGAATCCTCTTCGAACAAGGCCTTCAATTTAGCGTTTTTGAAGGTTTTGGCCTTCCTTCACGAGGGTGGTCGTCAACATCAAAATCACCATTTTTGAAGCGACAAAACCCCTCATGGCATGTTGTTTCGCTCAGAGCAACATTTCCGTAGCTCTCGATGCACTTTGCTGCCGTTTTTTTTTTAATGGAAGACGAAAATCAACACTCCCCGCAAATGACGATTGTTTGGCATAAAATTGGACATATTCACTTAGCCAGAAGTATATAATGCAAAAACGAAATCAATTAGGTGTACCAGCAGTTAGTTTACTTACTCTAAGCTTGCTTCAAGACGTTTTGGATTTGTCAAAATCGACCAACCCTTACTGATAAAGCCATATACTGACAAACAGCGAGAACTTAGTTGCGCACCTAATATAAGGAACGAAAGTACAAAATAGTAATACAATTCAGAATGTTATTGTAATGAGATATGCCTACTTGTACATACAAACTTATAAGACCCATTCGGCCTTAGTTGGGACATTAGTTGACACTGTGAAAAGTTCTTTTCCGTGACGACCTCGAATGGACCGGGTTTCGGCAACTTCTTCGTATCTCAAAAACTAGAGCTGATACAAAAAAATGGTTTGCAGATTTGAAATCAGCGCAAAAAATACTATAAGAATCAGCTCTAACATTTGAGGCACCAAAAAAAAAACTTTTTTTTGTTGGCCTGTGTTATTAAAAGTTTAAGTATTAAGTATTATTATTAAATACACACACCTGCAAAAAAACTTGCTAAT